ATGAGAATGACTAAGTGAAAGTTGGGTACAAGTACAAACCCTAGAAATGTGTTGTACCCCATATGTGCTACCCCACTATAGCCTACATAGGCTAAGTCATATAAGCCTAACACACCCCCATAGGCAAAGTGGGGGAGAACAAGGGGTCACAAGACCAGTCAAGCAAAGCAAAACAAGCTCAGGGTGGATCACAACACCACACAGTCCGAGCACAAGAGCAAGGCCACAAGGCCAGATCACATGCAAGATCATATATAAAGGTAAACAAGCAAGTGCAGGTATAGAAAGATCACAGTACAAGCAAGGTCAAGAAGTAAGCAAGTGAGGCCAAGTAGGCACAAGACCTAGCATCGTACAGAAGCGCTGATGATCACAAGGCGGAAGTGCCTTGGTAAAGATATCAGCAGTGTTGGCCTCAGAGGCCACGTAGGTAAGGCGTAGCTGACCACGCTGTTGGCCCCATGCCCGATGTACTGCACAAGTAACGCACATTCCTATATTTAATTATAGTTATAGCACCGAACCAGGTTACGTGTACCGAACTCAAGCCTATTCGGTTTCCACCGAATTGCTTTCTACTGAGTTCAGGAAGGTTCTGTTTGGGGCGGTTCGCGACCCTCAGAACATTCGCGTAACACCTGGGTTACTTGCCTTGTGTCGAGACTATATATAGCCTCGTGTTGTACCCAGGTGAATGATTCAAGTCAATTCAAATTCTGTTTTCTGAGCTCGATCCTAGATCCTCACAACCGCGCTCCAGCAGTGCAAAGTCGCGGTTCGCCAATGGTGCAGGTCGACGGTGTGCCAGCGTTGCACCCGCAGGAACGCAGCGCACCTACTTCGTAGGTGCTCGCAGATGATTGGCGTGCTGTGCCTCGTCACCAGCACAGCGCACACACCAAATCACTCTCGTGCTGACGAATGCATCTGATCAGCCACGTCGACCTCGGGATACCACTACCGAGGTCGGACTCGCCAACTTTGCCTGGGCAACCGTCGCACTCCTTCGCAGAACCTCGTCACCCGGGTAACCTAGTCGACCGGCAACCACATCGACCAGCTGCTCCTGTATGTGCCCACTGACCTATCAAGTCGACGACCACCCCAAGTCAGCTACCCGAAGTCGGCGTCACCAAGTCGACGCCCTCCGCAGGCCGACTTCCTAGGTCGACCTCCCTGAAGTCGGTGCCACCCTGAGGTCGGCGCCCATGCAGTGGCCCCCGTGCAGGTCGACCTCCTCGTCAACCAGCTCGCCCACTGCAGCAGGTCGGCTGCTCCCCTCACACCCGACCACGAAGTCGGCTCCGCCCAAGCGAGGACGGGGCCAACACGCAACTCCCGTCGATAGTTCAATGCCCTAATGAGGAGTAGGTAGCAGTTGGAAAGAGGGATACTTGGCCAAACAGCCACTATTGGACTGCAATACTCGACATCGGCACAAAGGCGCCAAAAGGGATCAGATGGTGTTGAACGTGGGTGTTTGTTCCTCACAGACTTCTCCGATGCGTCTTATGCATGGGAAAAAGAGGACATGCCAAGTGTGGGAGGCTTCATATGCTGTGTTGGTGGAGGCCCAACTGTCATATTGTATTTGTGCTTAGTAGGCTGTCCCGCGGTACACCATAAGGGGTACAACTCCAATTAGGTCTAGTACTTGTATCTTTTCCAAAACTAGTCCTGTAATTCCTCTTGATACTTGCCTAGGATATTCCTAAACCCAAGTCCTAGGTGATTCTAACATGTTATCAGAGTAGGTTGACCCTGTTAGGTCGATCCTGTTGGGCCTACCATTCTGTTACTACCTGAAGCACCTAGCGTGCGGCCCTACTTTGCCAGCGCGCTGGCCTTTTTTTTCCCACAGTCGCGACCGCCCTGACTGCCCGCGCACCTTAGCGCTCTATCTCAAAAACCCCCCCCTGCTGCACAGCGCGTCACTCGTGTTGCCCGCCAGCCCCTGCGCCCGGCCTGCCCTCTGCCTGCGCGCACCCTACGGCACTCGCTCAGCCCGCCGCTCTCACTGCCCGGCCTGCCCCCTGCTTGCTCGCATCTGCGCGCACCCTGCTTGCACACACCCTGCACGCGAGCACTCCGCGCACCCCACCTGTAGCCCGTGTGCACCCTGCCTGCGCTCGGCTTGTTAGTGCTGCTACTGATGTCACCTGCGCGACCCCTCTTACTGCATGCGCTGCTACTGCTGAGCGCTGCTGCTGATGCTAAGCGCTGCTGCTGCTGCTACTTGCTGCTGCTGCTGAACGCCCTGCTGCTACTACTGCTGGTGCAAGTGCTCCTATGGCTGCTCCTTGCCCAGCCCATGTCGCGCCGCCCAGCCCAAGAAGAGCCGCCCTGCCGAGTCGCGCCGCCTAGCCCAAGCCGCGTCGCCCTGCCGAGCCGCGCTGCCTTGCCCGAGCCTAGTGAGCCGCACTGCCGTGCTGTTGCTACTGCTGCTACTGCTACAGCTATTGCAGCCCATACTACTGCTGCTACTGCTATTACTGCTCCTATGGCTACTTTTTCAGTCTTTAGCTTCGATGCGGAGGGTCGTGCGATTAGCTTTGACGTTTAGCTTGATGATCTGCAACTGTCCCTATAGAGCGAGTCCAAGGATGGCGTGTCCTTGTCAGCCCACACAGAGGGATCCCTCCTAGCCCCTGCTGACACAGCGCAAGCAGATCATTCAAAATGGCTCATGCGTGATGCCATTGCCCGCTTTGCTGTTCGCAACCACCTACCAGTAGCAGAGCGGGCACACTTTAGCCAGCAGAAGACAGCGAAAGCCCTCTATGACGTAGTTGTCACTCGCTACTCCTCCCCCGCTACTGCTGCCCTAGGCCGCCTCATGCTGCCGTACCTCTTCCCTGAGCTAGCTGAGTTCCACACTGTTTCTAACCTCATGACTGACCTTCGCTCTAGTGAGACTCGCTACCGCTCTGCTCTCAAGCCGACCTTCCTCTTTGGGAACCCCCCCCCTGTACTTCCTCGTCACGCACCTCCCTGACTCCCTTCGCACTGTCAAGGACCACTTTCTCGCCCTCGACCCCACTGAGCTCACACTTGAATCGCTGGAGAAGTCTCTTCTTGAGGCTGAGACCAGTACCAACGCTGTCGCTTCCTCTCGCGGCACTCCCCGCTCCCCCTTCTTTGAAGGGTGTGCTCCCTCCCCTCTCCTCCCCTCCGTTGCTACTGCTGCTGCTGCTGACCTCCTTGGTGCTGAGGAAGTTGGCGCTGTGTCTGCTCCTAGTGGGAGGCACAACGACAACAAGAGCAAAGGGGGTAAGGGTGGTGGGGGCGGCACTAGCGGTGGTGGTGGTGGGGGTGGTGGTGGCGGGGGTGGAGGCGGTGGGGGTGGCTCTGGAGGTGGAGGCAGTGGAGGCGGACGGGGTGGTGGAGGCAGCGGAGGTGGAGGAGGCGGCCGGGGTGGTGGACGCAGTGGGGGCGGTGGAGGAGGTCGTGGTGGAGCTGGCAAGGGTGGAGGCCATGGCGGTTCCGCCCGTGGCGGTGGAGGCTATGGGAGTGGACAGCAGATACCGCGCCTCCCGGACAACCCCACCACTCAACAGCCTCGTGAGTGGGTTGTCCAGCGTGGTTCCTCTAGGGACTTTGGTCGCTGCCCCTATGGCCCAAGAAGGGTCATACCTGCGGGAAGGCACACAGTGAGTATCGTTGCTTCGGCCGTCTCGAGGATGCCTGGGTGGATGAGTATGGTGATGAGCTGGAGGTCCCCAACTGGCTGAAATTGCAGGGGATGGGAGTAGATGTGTATGCTCTAGACTTTGCAAAGATCAATGCTGCAATCTATGCTATGTATGTGACTTAGCTTAGTGCTGAGGGTGCATGTTACTCGTGTGTACCTTGCAATGCTGGTGTCGATGCTGCTGCTCCAAGTACCAGTGAGTGAGCTGCAGCTCTAGGTGCTAGTGCGTCTGCACTCATAGGTACTAGTGAGTCTGTTGCAGCTCCAAGAGCTAGTGCGTCTGCTGTAGCAGGTGCTAGTGAGTCTGTTGCCTCCGTTGAGACCCTGCACACTTGACTCAGGCGTGTCTCGTTGCTTCTTTCATGACTGCACTGCACTCACACCGCTAGCTGCACCTGTCTCAGTCTCACTGGCTGACCCCTCTAGGGGTCAGTAGACGCACAAGCCTCCACTGTCCTCCCGTGTCCAGCAGCCCCCTCCGGTTCTCTGTCAGGTCTCCACCTCCCCTCGTTCTCGACGAACTTGGTGAGCAACGCCGCTCTTAAGGATGTCTGGGTTGATACCTTTATTCCTGGAGGGCAGCGTGTGGCGATCAGTACGTGCTCCCGGACTGGCCGTCACCTTGCTATGTTCACGCGACGACCTGGGTCTAGTCTGTACACATTGACCACTTCGTCTGCAGAGGTGGCTGAGTCAGGTCAGGTGGCTGCATCGAGTTGGGTGTCTGTGTTTGGCCAGCTTGCAGCGTCTTGCTTGTGTCGGGTAATCTCTCACCAGAATCTCCTCTGGCACCACCGCCTTGGTCACCCCTCGCTGCCGCGTCTCCGCAGCATGCACTCCCGTCTCCTTGTCTCTGGCCTTCCCAGTTCCCTGCCCTCCCTCCCGCGCTCGCCTGCAACGCCGTGCCTTCCCTCTGTCGAGGGGCAGCAGCGCGCCGCTCCTCACTCTTGCTCCTCTCCAGACTCTCCACATGGACGTGTGGGGATCGGCCCCCGTCAGTGGGACGGAACAGGAGCGCTACTTCCTGCTGGCAGTTGACGACTACACATGCTACACCACTGTCTTCCCCTTGCGATGCAAGGCAGACGTCAGCGGTGTTTTGATCCCCTAGATCCGTGCTACTCGTCACCAGCTGCGCGAGTGGTTTCGGCGGGACTTGCCAGTCCTGCATATACACTTTGACAGGGGCGGTGAGTTCTCTTCCGGCCTCCTTGAGGAGTTCTGTTGAGTCGAGGGCATCCGCAAGACGTTCACGCTTCCGGCCTCTCCTCAGCAAAATGGGATTGTTGAGCGTTGCACTGGCTTGATCATGGAGGTTGCTCGTACCTCCATGATCCATGCAGCTGCTCCCCATTTTCTGTGGCCGTTTGCGCATCAGCTCAACCTCTGGCCCCGTGTCTCTGAGCCAGAGACCTCGCCCACCCTACATTGGATGGGGAAGGTTGGCGATGTGTCAGTGTTTCGGATCTGGGGCGCGCTCTCCCTTGTTCGCAATGCCAAAGCGAGCAAGCTCTCCTCTTGCACTCTCCGCTACGTCTTTCATGGCTTCCCCACTGACGCCCCGCCGTGGCAGTTCTACCACCCACGTTTGCGTCGAGTCTTCTCCTCCCAGGATGTCACTTTTGACAAGTCTGTCTGCTTTTACAGACTATACCCGCACGTGTCCCACCCGGTCCTCCTAGCGCCTCTCTTCTTTGTACCAGTCCCAACCCTGGTAGACCCACTCCCCCCGCAGGGTCCTGCTCCTTCAGGTAGACCCACCCCCCTTGGATGAGCATGTGGAGATCTCTTGTGACTCCTCTGGCCCAGCTGAGGGGGGTGACCCCGCCGCAGACGACACGGCGACCACTTGTCACTCTCCTCGCTTGAAGACCCCCCCTGGTTTTCCACCGAGGTTGTCTTCGCCGCCCCAGCAGCCTGCTGTTGGTGGCACTACGTGTGAGGGTTCTGGAGGTGCTCACTCTGGGGGTGATGCAAGTCCTAGTGGCGGTGCAGCTGAGGGTGACCCAACTGGAGGTCCTGGAGCTGGGCAGCCACAGCAGCCTGGTCTACTCGAGAGACTCTCGCTGCAGCAGATTCGTGAGTGGACCGTTCGGCGAGGCAGTCCTGGTGGTGGAGGGCACGGTGCTGCTAGTACTGGAGCTGCTAGTCCTGGAGGTACTGCTGGTGCTCGAGTTGCTAGTCCTGGAGGTACTACTGATACTGGAGGTACTGCTGGAGGTGCCGGAGGTCCTGCTGGCGCTGGAGGTGCTGGAGGTACTGCTGGAGGCGCTGCTGCCACTGCTGGTGCTGGAGGTACTAGAGTTGCTGGTGCTGGAGATGCCGCTGGTGCTGGAGGTGCTGGAGCTGCTGGTGCTGGAGGTGCTGGAGCTGCTGCTGCTGGAGGTACTAGAGTTGCTGGTACTAGAGGTACTGCTGGTGCTGGCGGTACTGGAGTTGCTGGTGCTGGAGGTACTGAAGTTGCTGGTGTTGGAGGTGCTGCTAGTGCTGGAGGTGCTGGCGCTGCTGGTGCTGGAGCTGCTGGTGCTGGAGGTACTGGAGTTGCTGGTGCTGGAGGTGCTGCTCGTGCTGGAGGTGCTGGAGCTGCTGGTGCTGGAGGTGCTCGAGCTGCTGCTAGTGGAGGTACTGAACATGTTGGTGTGCTTAGCCACCTTGTCTGTCTTCCGCCCGCTGCTTCTGAGTTCCCTGACCCTGGTACTACTCCTCTGTTACCTTTCCCTCCGACAGACCAATCTCAGCCAGAGCTACTGCCTCACTCCCCACTGCCTGCCCCTACTCCTTACAGTGAGGTGACAGAGTCCCTGACTGAGAGTTGAGAGCCTGAGACTCGTGCTTCCACTCGTGAGCATCGAGAGACTGAGATTAGAGCGTCTGTTCTTGCTCGTGTTCGTCATGTGCGTCGTCCTCGTGCTCCAGCTGTCCCAGGCAATCACGATATGACACTCCGTCCTTCCTCTGTTCCATAGCGTGTTGTCCCGCCCTCACCTCCCACGTCTTCTCCTCCTGACGTTGCTGACCCTCCTTGTGACCTTACTCATGCTTCCAGTCTGACTATCACTCGCTTTCTTGCTACAGTTGTGACTGACCCTACGTTTTCGTCTCTTGCTGCGTCTGCCTTAGTCGTAGAGCTCGTTGACTTTGCTGCTGCGTACCGCGTAGACTACCTTGCGAGTCTTGTTTCTGACCCTGCCTGTCCTCCGTCCGTCGGGGGTGAGGTTGCCCTTAGCTGTGACGTCCTTGAGGACAGGCAAGAGGAGTTGAAGTGCCTTGCGGCTGCTGTGCCCCGCCTCGCTACCATGCTGCTTACCCCTGAGGGAGACCCGGATGCACTTGACATCCCCACCCTGCGCTCTTACAGAGAGGCGATCTCGGGCGAGTACTCCTCTCAGTGGCAGACAGCCATGGACGCAGAGATGGCATCCTGGAAGTCCACAGGCACCTACGTCGACGAGGTTCCCCCACCTAAGGCGAACATCATCAGTGGCATGTGGATTTTCAGGGTGAAGCGGCCGTCTGGTTCTCCGCCTGCCTTCAAGGCATGTTACGTTGCTCGAGGCTTCAGTCAGCGTGAGGGAGTTGACTTCTTTCAGACCTTCTCACCCACCCCAAAGATGACCACCCTTTGGGTGTTGCTACACGTTGCAGCTCAGCGTGAATACGAGCTGCACTTCCTCGGCTTCTCGACAACTTTCTTGCATCGTAGCCTTCACGAGGCCATCTGGCTTTACTGGGTCATTTCCTGAGGGTACCCAGTGGAGCCTACGACGGCCAGTGTACGACCTACGTCATGCACCTCGCGAGTGGCATGACACTGAGGACGACACTTGCGGCTCTTGGGTTTGCTCCTTCGACTGCTGACCCGTCGCTATTTCTACGCACTAACACTACTCTGGCACCGTTCTACGTTCTTGTGTACGTCAACGACTTGGTTTTTGCTATTGCTGACACAGTGGCGCTAACCCTAGTGAAGGCGGAGCTGTAGGAGAGACACACCTGCACTGACCTGGGTGAGCTACGGAGCTATCTTGGCTTGCAGATCACCCGGGACAGAGGACAGCACACCATCACCCTGACTCGGTCACACATGGTGCACCAGGTCCTTCAGCGCTTCGGCTTCCAGTTCTCCTTGCCACAGCTCACTCCTCTTTCTACCGGCCACTCTCTCTCAGCTCCACCTTTGGATGAGTCCGTAGAGCCGAGTGGTCCGTACCCAGAGCTTGTGGGTTGCCTCATGTACCTGATGACATGCACACGTCCAAACCTCGCGTACCCTCTCAGCCTCCTGGGTCGCTACGTGGTTTTGGTAGATACTGAAAGGTGCACTGGGATGTTGCAAAGAGGGTACTGCGTTACTTGTGCAGTACATCGGGCATGGGGCTCCGATTTGGGGGAACGGCCTCGTTCTCGTCTAGTTTTGTACGTCGACAACAAGGCAATGTTTGCCTTGTGTTGCAAGTAGAGGCTGGAGCACAGAACAAAGCACATTGCTCTTCGCTACTTCCTTGCACATCAGCTGCAGCAGCGTCATCAGCTCCGCCTTTCCTATGTGGCCTCGCAGGCCAACACTGCTGATGTGTTCACCAAGGCCCTTGGGTCTGGTGATCATAAGTGGTTCTGCATTGCTCTTGGGCTTGTGCCCACTCTGCTTCACCTGTTAGTTGCTTGACTTGCACTTGTTGTACACTGATATATATCTTTATACCTGCTTGTTTCCTCTTGCTAGGTTGTGATCAGCGTACTTGGGATATGTTCACTATACACTGGTGGTACATGCGTATACGAAAACATATGTCAGTCGTAACTGAGCGCGAGAGACCGAAAGCTAGTAACGGCCCCAGAGGTAGTGTCTAAGGCGGATGCAGAGCACCTCGCGTGAGGTTCTACAGTGCCCCGAAATTGCGGGTCCACTTCCAACCCTTCTTGTTCATGCATTGGATGCGTCCAAGCAAACAGTTCTCCAGTCCCACCAATGCCAATGTCCTCCCTTGTCGTTTCGAACCACCGCCCTTTCCCAGCTTCCTCCCCATTGCTTGGGTGTACACTTTCACATGCAGCCGAAAAGCTGCCTCAATGCGTCTGAGGACGCGCCGAGCCCGGAAACGCTTCCCTCGGAAAACACAATCACACCGCTCTGCCCATATCTGGTGCACCGCAATTGCTGCCAGCGAGGCTTCGGGAAAGGCTGAGGTGGACGCTGCCTTGCCGAATAGCAAGTAACCCAGGTTCTCCACTTGCCTCGCTGGATGGAGCAAACGCATGGCCCGCTTGACTGCCCCCACCACCAGCTGAATGCGCGGGCAGGTGTAGAGGCAGTGCTCCAGAGTCTCAAAATCCCTGCAGTGCGGGCAGACCGGTTTGCCACTTAGAAAAGAGAGCCGTTCCCCCACTTGTAGATTCAGACTGTGGATCCTTAGCAGCACATCTTGCGGCCTGTTTGGAGTCACCAAAGAGTCCCGGATTTTAATGACCTCCTTCCAATTAATTTCTCCTCCCCATCTGCCCGCCCACAGCTCTCTCTTTGCGGACTGATGTTTCTTCTGCTGCCAGCACCCCTTCAACTCCCTCAGCGACGTCAGCTGCCCACCGCTGACCACCAGGGTTCTCTGGAGGGGGGTCTTTTGTGCCGAGCAGTCTCTCTCCTGTTGCTCGGCAGGCAGGATGAGCAGCTTCCAGCTCTGCGGCACTGCGTCCCAGGCCCGCAGTGCCAGCTTCGCTTGCTTGTTACGGCCGAGCTCCTTCGCCAGAAGCTTTACGTCCTTAGGCCGCCGCCCCCCCGCGCCGTCCGGACATAGCAGGTCGCTAAGCCGGACCTCCCAAAGCTTCTCCGCTGCCTTCTTCCCTCCCACTGGAGTTTTCCCGTTTAACAGAATATGGCGGTTGAAAACAATCCTCTCCTTCTCTGCCTTCGCTCGCGACAGTATTGGTGACGTGTCAGCCAGCGGCGATTGCATGAAATTGCCGCAAGCCAGCTTCCATCTCTCGCTCTTCCCACGCCAGCACTTCTGTGATCAGTGTGCTACCTTGCTATTATAACTCTGCATGTGAACTGGCCTTGTGGTCGCTTGCTTCTGCTCAGACTGTGTGGTGTCCTTGAGATCCACCTTGAGCTTTTCTATGCTTTGTTCTCTTGCTTGACTGGTCTTAGGACCATCTAGTTGTCCCCCACTTAGCCTATAGGGGTGTGTCAAACTGTATTTGTACTTGCTAGGCTGTCCTGGGGTACACCATAAGGGGTACAACCCCAATTAGGTCTAGTACTTGTATCTCTTCCAAAACTAGTCCCATCATTCCTCTCGACACTTGCCTAGGCTATTCCTAAACCCAAGTCCTAGGTGATTCTAACACCAACTGCTTGGGAGAGCAAGAAGCAGGTGGACCAAGCATTGAGTACGGTGGAGTCCGAGTACATGGCGCTCTTCCGTGCCATTCGGGAAATTGTGTGGTAGTGGCGTTTATTGGCTGAATTGGTTGCCCTGTCGTGTGCGCCCCACTCCTTCTCAAGTGCGATATAGCCACGCCGTTTTCCATTGCAATCCGTAAGTGTTGGCGGTTCTGAAATCCCGTCTGTTCACATTCGCTCCTACCAAAAACTTCAATGACGCGCCTGCCATGCAGTAAAAGCCGCTGCACTTAATAGGTCGGGCGGGACGGTGGTTAGCCCCCACCTAAGTCGGGGAGTCCTCGTATCGTCTCTCCTCGCTACCGACATTTTCAGACACAAAAGCTCTGAAGTTTTCAGGCAGTCATTGACTCCGGTCTCACGACGCCAGCTGCCACACATGTTGACAACGCCAAGGCTATTTGTGCAGGTTCAGGTGCATGTCTGCTGGTGCCAGTTGCCATACGAATTGACCTCCGAAATCGTTGGAAAAATGCAGTGGAAATTACTCACGTTAACATCGTGATAGACACAGCTGTCCGTTTCCCAGGGGAAGGGAGGTCATGATCGATCGCGACCATTCAACGCAAGGATCCGGCGATGCCAAAGAGTGCTCATAAAGTTATGGACGCCATGAGCAACTAATCCGTTCTGCTGGCCGGCCTACGCGCAACTTCCGGAACCCAGGACATCCTTCCTCGTCCCCCCCTTACATTTTTTTTTTAGGGGAAATATGTTACGATATGGAATAGTTGAATAAACATTTCTAAGTAACGAATCCTTAACGCGAAGATGATTGCAGCGAGGATGAAAGAACAAGCGACGAGTCAATTATTGAGACGATTACAAGAAGGAAGAATTTGAGGTGCAAAGCGTGGGAAAAGTTCAAACGGTTACTGGACCGCGTACGGTTATCGAACCGTACAGTTGCAATCCTGCATCAAATTAGCCCTAAGGGGAATTTGCCCCCTCAGAGTACATGGCTAGCTAGGATTTTTCGTATTCCACTGTATTTCTATATAAACCCTTGTACCGCATTGTATAAGTCACTTCTGTCAAGATTCGAATCTCCTTCTTCTGACAGAGTCTGTACCCGACATTACCTAGCAATCTTCCGCTGCTACACTCCGTGCGATCAACCTGAAACGATCCTATAAGACGGTTCAGATTGTATCATGGTATGAGAGCCACTCATGATTCTTCGCACCACCACCTTTGATTCAAATTCAAATTCAAGGTGGCGTTCGGTATGCGCTCCCGCCGAAACATGGCTAGAAATCTGGCGGACAAGCAGCCAACACTGCCGAAGCCCCCTCCAACCCTTCCGCGAACTCCACGGGAACTACCACCGTCAGCAATGCGCTACTGGAGCAACTCATCCAGCGGATTTCTACAGTGGAATCAGGAATTCAACAACTGAAGAGCGGCAACCCGGAAACCGCTCAGCAACCCAAACAACCGGCCCCTCCAACCAAGGTACCGAGCCCAACCACCTTCGATCTCGGGTCAAATTCTTCTGCTCCAATCATCCCTCGTCCAAGTGACGAAGCCGTGCTCGCAACTCAGAACAAGTTTCTGACTATCTCCACGATTCGAACCAGCACCGTGTTTAGCAGGCGCGATTTTTACACCTGGAGTTTTGAGCTCGAGCTACTTCTGCAATACGTGCAAATCTTCTGCTACTTTGACGGAAGCTACGTTGGCCCCACCACCGAGACTGACGATGCAACAGCTCAGTATTATAACGAGTCACTCATGGCGTACAACGTTCTACTTCATAACATGGCGCCAACGGAACAACTCGGCATTCGCCCCTACAAAACCCACCAAGCTCCCGCCATGGCGGCCCGGAGCTACCTCAACAAAACTTACCAGCCTAAAGACACTGTGTCTTCTAGCCGCTTGCTCCAGCAACTCATGGAAGTTAAGATGACACCTGGCGAGAAAGCAAACTCTTACATCAATCGTTGCCGAAGCGTCCGTGACCAACTCCCGAAGCTCAGAAACACAATCTTCGAGGACATGTTTCTCACCATCGTGCTTCAAGGGCTGAAACCACACTGGAATCCCTGCAAGGCGCTGCTTCGCCAACAAGGCATATTTTCCGAAGTGCACCTTTGCGCTACTCTACTGCATGAGCAGCGAGACATGGACTTCAACCAAGAAAAGGGGACGCGCCGCGAACAACTCGCCTTCTACTCTAATCGCGATCCGCGAAGGACCCGCGACACACGGCCACGACAATATTACTGCAAAAACCGCAAAGCCTTCGGTCACTCCACCGAACGCTGCCAACCTGGACCACGACACGATTCCGCGCCGCGCAACAACTCTGCCTTACACTCCCTATCACATGCACCAGGC